GGCAGAGGGCACACGGGAAGTGGCAGTGGGCACACAGGATGTGGCAGTGGGCACACAGGAGGTGGCAGAAGGCACACAGGAGGTGGCAGAGGGCACACGGGAAGTGGCAGTGGGCACACGGGAGGTGGCAGAGGGCACACGGGAGGTGGCAGTGGGCACACGGGAAGTGGCAGTGGGCACACAGGAGGTGGCAGAGGGCACACGGGAGGTGGCAGTGGGCACACGGGACGTGGCAGTGGGCACACGGGACGTGGCAGTGGGCACACAGAGCCGTGCCAGGGGCAGTGGGAACGCACGAGCTGCCCGTGGAAGCAGCTGGAGCTGGCAGGGAGGAGCAGATTTCTGTTCACACGGTTACCAGCCTGCCCAGCAGGTTCCACCTGGGCACGTCCCAGTCCTCTCAGCACTGCTGCTCTTGGCTCTTGGGTGTTTCATGGAGGCACCTCCTGATTTTTCACCCCTGATTTTTCCCAGTAAGGAGCCTGGGAAGAGCTGCTGTGGGCTCGGGCAGGAGGGTTTGGTGCCCACCAGGAGCTGAGCCCAGCAGTGATGGGTGCTGAGATGTGGAGGTTCCCCTTGGCCCCACTGTGATCCCAGTGTGCCTGAGCTCTCCTGAGCTTCTCAGCAGGGGAAACATGAATTTTCTCCCCTTCTCCATCTTTTCAGATTAGGAAGGCAAAGCCTCTCTCCTCCAGGACAGTTTCCAAGGGAGGTGTTTGATCAGTGCAGCCAAGGAGGCTCCTGTGTGCCCATCCCGGGTTGGAGCACTGTGGTCTCATGGAATCTGTCCTTGCCCATGGCAGGGGCTGGAATGGAACGAGCTTTTAGGTCTTTCCAACCCAACCCACCCCGTGATTCCATTATTCCAGCCCCCAGCCCTTCCTGGCACCACCATTCCACAGCTCTGGCAGCCAGGGAAGGGGTGGCTGGAGCACAGCTCGTAGGAATCAGCCCAGCTCCCAGAAATAGCAGCGACAGAAGGAGGGTTTGGTGGAGCCGACCTTCTGCTTTGTACAGCTCCAGAGCTGCTTTTCCAAACTAAAAATACCTCTTACCTTGACTGCTCCGAGGAAGAACACTTGCTAGGCAGGTTGTTTGGGATTCAGGGGAAGAAAGTTCAGGCAGAGCTCAATTAGTCTGCCTTAATTTACAAGCCAAGTTCTGTGTCTGCATGATTTGCTTCGCTTGTCTGTGCACATTTTAAAGAGCAGAGCAATGCTGTGGGAGGGCGTTTTTCACTGCACGTACTTAGGGTAGAAATCCTGCTGTTATTCACATGTTTACAGCCCTCCTCATAATGAAACTGCTGCCTGTTCTGCCATATTAAAAAAAAACAAAACAAAAAAAACAACAAAAAAAAAACCACCAAAAAACCCCCAGTGATGTGCTGAAATGAGCAGAATGTGTGGGAGGATAAAGATGTGCTTTGCAGATCGTGGCTCTCCTCGTGAGCTCTGCCTTCCCCTGCTCATTCCTGCTGTCCAGCTGGGCAGTGCTGGTTAATTCTGGGAGTTCTTCTCGGGAGGGATCCGTGTGTGGATGCAAGCCGAGAAGTTGCTACATTTTCTCTGTGATGTATGTGAATTTTTTCATGCTCTGAAGTCATGGCCGTACTTGACTTTATTTGGAAGCAATCCCTGTATTTCCTGAATCACAGAACCATTAAAGTTGGAAAAGACATCCAAGATCATCGAGTGCAACCTAAGGGAAGACCCGTGCAAAAAAAAAAAACTCCAAGCAACATCCTCCTTTGTCCATATACTGTCAATGCTGACAGTGAAATAGCTGAAAACCCCGCAAACCAAATTTAAGAAGTCAAAAATTAGGAAAACCGTGGGTTTGGAATGGAGCAAGGACCCAGTTGAATACTTTTCCCATTCTGTGAACTTGCTGCATTTCCTATTCCTGCTTATTAAGCAGGCAGCTGACAGCTGCTGGCACAGCTTGGGAATGGCAGAGGAGTGCAGCGTGTCCAAAAGCTCTCGGGGCCTCTTTTGGGCAGCAGCTCAGTGGGATCCTATCCTTAGGTGGGATATCCATAGAGTGCTGTGTGTGCCAGCCACAAATAGCACTGGGAATCTGCTCCTCTGCCTGCTGGAAACGCTGGTTTGCTCCAGTGGGGAAGGACACACGTGCCTGTCATGCAGGAGACAGAAGAAGCCAGCCCAGCTTTTGGTGGCAGCTCCTGGAAGATCTCTGTGTGTGTTTTTTTTAATCACTCCTTCACTGTGTGCTGGTTTTTAATGAGTGCAGACCTTGCCATCCTTCCTTCCTTCCTTCCTTCCTTCCTTCCTTCCTTCCTTCCTTCCTTCCTTCCTTCCTTCCTT